AAAAAAAAAAAAAAAAAAAATCTATGGGAAAAAAATCAAACCAGATTTAAGTCTTAAAAAATCACAGTAGAGTGGCTCAGATGTGCTTTTTATTAGTATGGTAAATTCTATTTATGGGAAGTAACTAAAGCTGGACAGCACACCTATCAACTATCGTCCTTCAAGAACATCTTTGCACCCTGACTGTCCTTCTTTTATCCATGGGATTCTGACCTGTCACAGCTCTGTGGCTGCACCTTGCGGTGTAGAAGCCTCATATACATACACTCATTTCCGAATATAGTGTTGCCTTTTTCAGCCCCTGCCAGTGTTTTGTGACAGATCCTCTGTTTTAGTTAGACAGAAGCAAAGTGGTGTCTGTATGTAATAACAATCTGTTCTATTCTTTAAAATGGCTAGAAGAAGAGATTTTATGTGGTTCTCAACACAGAAGAACGATCAGTATATGAGAAACTGCATGCTAATTAGCTCAATGTGGCCATTCCATGATATACACGTATTTTAAAATAATGTTATACCTAGTAAATATATACAATTATGTCAATTTAATTTTTTTATTGTAGAAAGTGAATTGACCTCTCTCATGTTATATGTGGCGTGTGACAATCCCATTCCTTTAATGGTCATGTCACATTCCCTTAAATGCATCCGACTATTTGCCTATCTGCTGAGAGCTTTAGGGATCTTCCACCTTCTGGCACTGTAATAGCGATGCAAAATGATGAAAGACATGAGTCACACACAAAGGCCACCCACAGTGTGTCCATTTATATGACATGCCCAGGATAAAGAAGTTCATGAAGACAGAAAACTGGCCCGGCAGCAGGGAGTCAAGTTGGTGGAGGCAGAGTTTTATGTGGGGTGATGGGAGTGTTTCAGCACAGAGGCGGTAGCTGCATGGAACTGTGAATTTACCAGTGCATTAAACTATTTGCTTTTATCCAAATATTTTTATTTTATACTGTGTTCATTTTCAGCCTCAATAAAATTTTAAGAACCAAATCAGGCCAAGCCCCAGCTCTGAGACAACGCAGTCTGACCTAAGAGCAGAGATGCGTGTACAACTTGGAGACAAAGGGTGTAATCACCCTCAGATATGTTCGAAAACTGAGCCTGACTGCGTGTCCTAGACAGACAGAAAAGCAGAGTGACCCCTGACAATGTCGTGGGACTCCTGCCTGGGTGATGGGGACTCTGCAGGGCAGCGAGGGCCATGCCAGGAGAGGTTGGCAGTGTGTCAGGGACAAGCAGGAAAGGAAGGATAGAGGCTCCCAGTCCTGCCTCCCTGTCCCCCCATCACACTCCCCCCAAGGACCTGGGCATCCTGGCTGGTGAGCTATCAGCAGCTTGTGATCCCAAGACCAGGACAAGGCCATAGACGCACCCTCCACTGCCAGAGTGGCCACAGAGCCAGGGTCGCCAGCGGATCCTTCCGTATCTATTGGCTGCATTTCCCGTCACCCATGAGAGACCAACCCCGCATAGGTGGCTGCCTACCTGGGATCTGGGATGCCAAGTCCTTTCCAGCAAATTTAAAGCAAACCTTAAAAAATAGCATAATTAAAATAACCACTCTTACAGGTTTAAAATGTAAACTGGAAAGCATTTACTGAGCAAACAGCTAACTGCTTAAAAAACAACTACTTAAAAGTTCGCAATGCAGTTTTGAGCTTTAAGCATTGTGTGGTGTGGTGGGACCAGCCCTGCTCTGTGCTGCTGTGGTGCTGGCGGAGTCGGCCAGCAGCCAAGACCTCCTGTGGCACAGGTTAGATGTGTCTCCCAGGCCACAGCAAGGGGCCATGGAGCTGAATGGAAGTCGGAGCCCTGCATCTCAGGGAGAACCAATTTCAAACAGCTTCTCATTACAATCTTGTTTTCCTAAAAGAATTCATGGACCCTGCTTTCCGAAGATCACCTGAAGTGCTCCTACCTCCTTTGGGACATCATGACATCCTGTAGGACAACCTAGGAGCTTGTGTCTGGCTGGACCTGCCATCCCAGGCCACAAAGCTGCTGGCTGCTTGTTCAGGCTAGAGCGTTTCTCCTCAGAGGCTGTGGGGACCCCTGTAGGGGACACTCGCCAAGACCATACTCCCTCCACCCACTCATCTCCAGTGGGTCACAGGAGCTTGCCCAAATAGTCTGGGAGGTTGGAGAAGATAAGCACAAGTAAACTGTGGAGGGAATTAGCAGAAATGCTCTGAATAGCTCAGGAAGATGCTCTCACAGTATAGAGTCAGTGCTCATAGTTCTGCTATGAATGAAGGTGTAATATCACTGCCTCCAAATCAAATGAGAGAGGCAGGGCCAACATTAAAATCCAAGCCCCCTGGCCAAAAAGCTATGCACTTTGTCACTAAAACTAGGTCTACAGTATGAGAAACTGAGTCTCAGAGAGGCTGAAGACAGATGCCTTTCTAATGTCCATGGTAAAGATGGCATCGGAACTTTGAGGCCTTGTCATGATAAACACAATGCTTCTGGCCAGAATTAATTATATTATGCTTAATCTCTGCCCAAAGTGCAAACATTTCCCCCAGAAAACTGAAGTAACATCACCTTGTCCGTCCTGCTGTCAGCAAATAGAAGAACATGGAACAGGCCAAATTAACGGCTGGTCTTTCCATTCCCTCTCCTTTTAAATACCACACTTCCAGCTCTAAATAGAAAAATCAATATTTGCAGATTAAAGGTTTCATTTTATTGCAAATATTCATGAAGATTAAATGTCATTTTAATCACATGATAGTTTATTTCTCTGGGTGTACCATATTTGCATGTGATCATTCACTGCAGGGAAATGAGTTTTCCTTGTGCCAGCTGAGGTTTATTTACCGTTTGTTCTCATCCCTGCCTTGGCATGGAACTCCTTGAATCAGAAAATATATATCATAGCCAACTAATTGGTGCTCACAGACAGAAACTTCCCAATTTGAACTGCAGGGCTGCTGCTGTTGCAGTCCCTGTCTGCTGCCCATCAAAGTAGCAGCCGCCCCTGCTCCGGCCTGCTGGAGCCTGGGCACCTGGCTGTCCTGGATTTGGCAAGCCAGGCAGACGTGGTACAGTGCTACCTCCGCTGCCCTTAAACCTAGCTGTGAGTCCCCAGGGAGGCCAGTAATGGTGGTTCTGTCTCTTCCACGGCCAGCGTGAACCCAAGCTGCAGGCCTGTCTGGTGCCAATTTAGGTCAAACCTCCCCGCCCCCACCCCAGGCAAGCTGAGGACAAGCTCCCCCTCTTTCCTCTTGTCTACATATTAGGATATATGGATGTCACCCCTTTCTTTTCTTCCCCTTGTCTTCTTGATGAGCTATTCAGTGCAAAATGGGTTATGTTACAGAAAAGAATAAAGTCAGAATTGAAATAATTCATTCTGTAGACAAAATCAGGTTTGTGATGGTTCAAGATTACATTCTTCCTGGCCGGTCACAAAGACCATTGCAGAACTTCAGGGCACAACCTGGGTTTGTGAGCAATGGTGCCTTGGGGAGCGTGTAGCTGTTTTCAAGGTAAGCGTGGGGTGCACACATGTCCCTCCTCCTGCTGGTGCTTTGGAGACTAACGGATGCTCTTTTGTCTGCCTCTGCCTGTGCTGTGGCCTCTTAATTCCCCATTGTTCCTCTTCTTTTACAAAACTGGAAGTTTGATTCATGTTTCCCAAGGAAAGAAAAGACCCACATGGCATCCTTCCTCCCCACTGCTTCTCTTCCTAGAAATTACAGAGAAAATGAACTCTGGTGCACAGTGTCCTGCTCGCCCTCTCCAGAATAACCTGGAGCATCTTGTTGATTCAGCTCCTTGTCTTTGTCTGCAGAATGAAGAGCCCCTGTTCTCCAAGGATGGCCGGAAGTTTTTCTTTGTCAGAGCAATCCCACAGGGGGGACGAGGAAAATTCTATCACATCACAGTGTCATCATCCCAGGTGAAGCCTGCAGTTTGTGTGTGTTGGAGCGGCTCTCACATCTGAGCTTGCATGTCCTTTCCAGAGCACTAAAGACACCCAGAGGTGACACTTGCAGCGGATCCGAGGGTGTACTAGAGCCACAGGGCCATCGGATCCAAGGGCAGAGATTCCCAGCAGGGCAGGTTCTGCTCAAGAACTTTAGCATGGGAAGGGGCATATCTGGCAACGCAGATCTGGGTGGCCATCTGTACCTCCCAGCCTGCCCTCCCATCCCTAGGGCCAGAGGCAGCTGTGGCTTTATGATGCTGTGACTGCACTCACTGAGTGCCAAACTTTGGGGTCCAGTGGTTCGCACTGTGCATCACTGAGCCAGGACATCAGCGATTGTCATGCATGGACTTAGACCCCAAAGTGGGCTTCGTAGTGGATACAGTCCCTGCCCGGAGGGGACCGGGAGGTTGCTACTGGCGCTGAACTTTAAGAACTGCCTGAGATGGCAAGTGCACATGGTGGACGTGAACTTGTGGCTTCTCCAGATCACAGACCCCATCCTCCCTCAGATTCATTTTGAAGTCATTTAAAGTTATTTGAGATTGGGGCAGGTGAATAGGAAAAAGATCTGTCAAAATATTCTATGGCTTTGAAGTAGAGGGCTTGTGTTTATGATGTGGCCCAAAAATTGATCCCAAAAGAAAAATCTCAAAAATACCCACCTCAGAATAGCTTAGAGGGAGTAAGATAGACCCATAACTTCTTGGAGAAAAAGAGTTTCATTTTCCACCCACTTAGCCACATGACCTATAGACAGCTTGCAAACTGTTTTCATCTGTTTACCTTTCTGGTCTTCATTCTCTAGCTCCAAATTCCTTTATTTTCTCATTGGGGTCATTTGAAATAAGAGCTTTTAAAAAGTAAATGTTTTATTCAGTTTCTAAATTCATTCTGATGATTACCATTGCTGAAACCCCTATCCACACCCAGCAAGAATCAGGTCCCACCCTACCCATAGTGCCCACCTCTGCCGCGGGCCTTGGCTTCTGATCCCAGGAGTCCCTTGGGAATCCAGTGACTATCGCCTGAAGTCCACATCCACCCCCCTCACACACACCCCACTCTCACATCTGTGGTCCCAGGCTGTTGGCCACCAGGCCTTCTTTACCTACATTACTCTTCATCTGCTTGGACACCTTCCCTGGGATGCCTGTTGCCCAGAACAGCTGCCCAGAGCTGCACCTCATACCCCAAGACACTACTGGAAATGCCTCTCTCCCATGACAACTCGTGGCTCTGATAGTGGAGCCCGGCTTAACGAAGCACATGGAAAATGTGCATGCAAAACACACACCAGTTGTGATACCACCCCACCCAGCCTCAGCGAGGACCACGGAGTGCAGAGCAGACTGCCTGTCTTCTCTCCTCTATGCCTGTGCTGTCTTCTTGCCCCATCTCAGGCACTCATACCCTCTCCTCTCCCTCCTCCCTCCTAGGCCTGGAGTCACAGAGCAGAAGGCATGTGCCACATAGCAGCACACAAACCCATGATTCTGTGGCATAGTTGGAGGGCCTGGGGTGGGTACCAGGCACAAGCACCAGAGCTGGGGACCACAGCACTCCTGCCACCAAGTGAAGAGTGGGCTGAATGGGCAGTGGGGTGAAATGAAGATACCTGTCTTGGAAGTGGCAGCCAAGTCCTCGTTGGATCCTGACCCCTTCTCTGTATTTCAGCCCAACAGCAGCAATGACAACATCCAGTCCATCACCTCTGGTGACTGGGATGTGACCAAGATCCTGTCCTACGATGAGAAGCGCAATAAGATGTAAGTGAGAACGGGCTGTGTCCCGGGGCCCCGTCTTCCCAACCAGCAGGGCGCATCTGCACTTTTGCTCACCTTATGCACCTAGACTGGGCAGCAATCACAGGCCACCAGCTGCCCAGGCACATATGTCCATCTCAACACCCAAGCCTCCAATGCCGCCAGGTACAGAGTGAAGCTTGCCCCAGCCCTGTGAGGTGACACCCGCCAGCTGAGGAGTTGCACAGATCTTCTGTGAGTCTCTGCTGCCCTCAGCTCAATGCCAAGTGCATTGTGAGATTATCTCACTTCATAGCTACACAGGGTGGGCTCCTTGCTTTCCCATTTTCAAATTAAGTAAGCCAAGTTTCGGAGAAGCTAAGGCATGAATAACCCAGGTTATTCAGTTAGTCCCCAGCAAAGCTGGGATTGAGCTGAGACAGCAGGAAGCCAGGCCCAAACACAACAGCCCGAAGCTGCTGAGACAAGGGCAGCATCCGTGTCTCAGGGAAGTCAGCCAGTGAGTATTTACTGGGCCAGGCTTCATGCCTGGACACAGATGAAGTGTTTGGGGCCTTTGCCCTCCAGATGGCCATTGATCTGGGAAGAAACTCTCACATCCAAATGCAGGTGCCCATCACCCCGTCTTCACCCCACAACAGGACCCCAGCTCCAAGGCAAGTCCAGGGCAGGAAGCACCTGAGGCTCATGAATCTGCTCTGGCCTTACGTGCCCCGGTCGCAGGTGTGGCTGAGCTCCTGGTGTCAACAGGGAATCACTAGGACACTGGAGGGTGGTACCTGGCATTCAGTGGGCAGCTAACCTGTGTACCTTCACCATCTCTGCAGTTACTTCCTGAGCACAGAGGACCTGCCGCAGAGACGCCAGCTGTACAGGTAGCTCAGACTCTGGCACATGGGCATCCCCTCCCCTGGGCCCTGAGGCTTGTAGGATAGGATTATACCTCTCAGCACACAGAGGGACCAAAGGTGGGGGCACTATCGCACCTGGAAAGTAGCTGAGACTTCATTTAATTTGCTTTTGTAGGATGAAGGGCCTCTTTGTGCTTCTCCTCTCCCTTGATAGTGGGTGGATGTCTACAACGTTTCCTTGTGCAGTAGTAAAGTGTGAACTTGGAGGATCACTATCAGTGGGTGTTTAGGGGACAGAAGAGTCTCATTGGGGGCTGGGGGCTGAAGGGCAGCTGCTCTGCTGTTCTGCCTGTTGCACACTTGCTGTACAACTTTGCATAATCTCCATGACCTCAAAGCAGGCTGAGGATGGATAGAGGCACCTAGATCTTTGAGAGAAATAGACCTGAGGTTTTTCTCAGCATAGAATCCTGTAACCTGTCCTGGAGTTGAGAAGGGCCTCTGGATGCCAGAGGGAAGAGGTACCATAGCATCCCTCCTGGATGCTTCCTACCAGGAGGCTGCTGCTGAATGTAAACAGCTAATGAAGAGGGTATGTTGCAGTATAGACCAGGGGATTTGAGGCTACTGCCTGAGAGTCTGGATGGAGCCAGTGCCTGTCAGCCCCTGTCCTTCATGGAGATGCAGAGGAGCCCAGGTGCACTGGCATCTCCCCTCCATAGACTGAGCTCCCAGATGAGAGTGGGAAGCTGGCCCACAGGGTGCAGGTCAGGGAGAACCCCCTGACAAGCACCTGAGGTCACAGTCTTACACATCTGCTAGGATCATTGAAATCCAGCCAAGTGTATGCATCTGAGGCTTTGTGCTACACACAGGCCAAGCAGGCTGCCTTCTGTTACCCATGAAATATATCTGCAAAGATGAGCTCCACATTGGAATCTTCACTTATGGTGGCCTCTTCTAGAACTGAGGTGCAAATGAGAGCTTCTCCCAAGATACAGGCACCTCTGTCTTTCAGTCAGGGGACACTCGGGCTTTCTCATGTGACACTAGACTTGACCAGGGCGGTCCCATCCAGCTCCACATGTGGGAAAAGCACCGCATGCACCTCTCACCATCCATTGGGAGAGTCAGGTTTGGAAGAGGCCAGGGTTAGGTCAGCTGCTGCCCCTGGAGCTCTGCCTTTTGTGAAACCTCCCCAAGTTCTCAAATTTCCCATTGTCCATTCAGAGTGCAGCATGCAGGACTGCAAAGCACTGGGTAGTCATACCAAGCTACAGCGCCCTCTCACATGTACAGAGCTGAGCTGTAGGTGTGCAGGTAGAAGCCACCTCAGGAGCAAAGGTGGTGAGAACTCCAAGACGGAAGGGAGGCTTAGGTGGTGGGATAGAGCTGGGTGTCTCTGGTACCCCAACAACAAGATGGGCAGGAGTGAGGTCCAGGGAAGGTAGCAGCAGGGACTTGCAGGGACCCTTGTAGAAGAGCTATCCCTCAGCTTGAGTACCCAGCCAGAATCCTGGCCTTGACTGCAGACTAAGCACCCACTGCCTTGGTTCATGCCGGGTCCTTGTCTTCCAGTGCCAACACAGTGGGCAACTTCAACAGGCAGTGCCTGTCCTGTGACCTGGTGGAGAACTGCACCTACTTCAGTGCCTCCTTCAGCCACAGTGCTGACTTCTTCCTGCTGCAGTGCGAAGGTGAGTGGCTACCACCCCTCCCCACAGCTGCTGCAGGTGGTGGGTGCTGAGGTACACAGGGACACAGTGGGAAGGGGTGGCTGCACGGGAGCACGGTTCCTGGTGGAAGAGGTACGGGCTCCTCAGCAAGAGCGCTGTGCACCCACTCGCTTGTCTTCAGAAGGCTGCGACTTTGAGGGCACCCTCCCCTTGCTAAGCCAGGCACTGAAGCTCATGTCCTATTCGCCATAAGCTAGTTGTGGTATCTCACACGTCAACAAATCTGAGTCATCTGGAAAAGTGATAAAGCAATTTCAGAGATCCCTTTTTCAAATATATAAAATTTTGAAGTTATGCAAGAAATCCATATGCTCCTATGAGCCAACTCCTTGATAATTTATCCCAAATATGTGCATGTTTCATCACACCAATCACAATACTCAGAAGAGTCACTCAAAGTGAGAATAATGGGGAGCTGCTGAGTAAGGATTGGATTAGAACCTGGACTCTGCCACTTATTGTCCTTGGGACCTTGGGCACATTGGTTAATCTTGCTGAACACTCTGTGTCCTCATCAGGCACTGGTGGTCACTACCCTGTGAGGTCACTGAGAGGATGAATTAAGCTAATGCCTTTAAGGTATTTACTATGTAACTGAGGCACAGTAAGTGCCTGGTAAATTTAATTCGTTTATCATTATGATCATAACTGTTATTGGCTTAGTAATCAGTCAAGAACTTCTTGATGCCCACTCGCTACAGACTCAGAGTGCAAAGTTGGGGCTGAGGGGAGAGATGGCAATTTCCATGAAATTAACAACTGGCGTCCTTTGTGTGAGTTCCAGATCGGCATGTGCATTCTTACATCCCACTGAGCCGGGTTGGAGTCCCTTGTGCGCTCACTAGCAGGTTACCAAGTTCCAGGCATGACCACAGGTGCCAGAACCACAGCACATTGTTAGATCAGCCACCTATAGACATGCAGAGATGTGTGGCAGCCTCAGGAAAGCACATACCCAAGGTTCTTCTATGGCTGGTTCTTGCCCAATGCTGTGCAATAACCACATTTCCTTGGGTTTCCTTAGCTTTCACCTGCTTCCGTCTGTGCCTCCCCTCACCCTCTGCCTGTCAGCGTCCTGTGCTCCCATGTATGTGTACATTCTGCCACTGGGAAATAAAGTCAATGGGGGAAATATACACTACAGTGCTAGTATGTCACATTACTCCTGCCTGAGCCCCGGTTATCACAGAGCAGGGAATAAGACAGGGTGAAACATAGGACCGGGAGACTAATTTGGTTGGATATAAGGCCGCGTCCAGGCCCCATGAGAATGAAAGACATGGCAGATGGGTGGGTGGTGTCATGGAAGTCATGAGGGTTGATTGGTGATATCTGCCAGCCACACAAGTGGGGAGGAGGTAGCAGCCACATGTCATGTGTCTGTCTCATTTGGTGCAATCCCTTGAGAAAAATGAATGCTAAATGATGAAGCTTCACATTCCATACTGTCTGATATGGGACCTACTGGGCACTGGGATGCATTCTAAAATTCACCTCATAACACTGACTGGAGTAAGGCAGATTTTTTTTTTTTTTTTTTACCTGGGATTGAACTCAGGTCCTTGCACTTGCAAGGCAGGTGGTGGAACCACTGAGCTAAATCCCTGGCCTGTGGCAGATTATTTTTTAAAGAGGAACTAAACTGAAGCATTGTGGTCAGTTGAGATAAAACTGAGAGCACATTGTGAAAAGACACACATAGTCACTGTTGCTCGAAGGAATGGAAGTAGCCACTCCAGAGATTCTCCTGCAGGAAACCCATATTTGGGCTGCCACCTGGCAGGCACCTCTGATTGTCACACAGCTTTCAGATCATGCAGAAAGAATTGCCAGATTCCTTCACCATGGTCCAAGGACATCATGGGTTGGACCTGGCCTGTCCCTGAAAGGCCTACATATTGAAGGATTGGTCATGGTGC